AAGGGAAGGTAAAGAGAGAGTAGTAGAACGAAGACGACGTTGGAGATAAATTCTGCGTGCTCGTTGATAGAGAGGGCAGTCTAACAGAATGTGGCTAATCGATACTGGAACTTGACACTGCTCACAGAGAGGAACAGGGTGCCTCTCCATGAGATACCCATGAGTAAGACGAGTGTGGCCAATGCGAAGGCGGGAGAGAGTGGTCTCCCAACCTCGGCACTGATGACAAGAAGACGGCCAGTAACCTATGCTCGGTTTAATAGAATGAAGTTTGTTACCGAGCAGAGTTGACCAACGTTGTTGCCAACGGGTGCGAAGGTGGGTAGCTATTGCAGCAAAATAGTCCAGAAATGGAACACCTCGATAGGAAATTGGTAGGTCATATACTGCTGACCGCGCAGCAGTGTCTGCCTGTTCATTGCCCTGTACGTCGACATGACCAGGGACCCAACAAAAAACAATATCTTTATGTTTGGTAGAGATACGGCATAGCCAAAGTTGGATACGGAGAACTAGGGGATGAGATGTATCAAATTTTCGTATAGCCTGTAGAGCACTAAGGGAGTCTGAGACTACTACAAATGATGACACAGGCATAGATGCGATACGAATAAGTGCTGCAAGAATGGCATACAGTTCAGCAGTAAAAATGCTAGCTGAAGATAGTAAATGCCCTCGTACGACGCTGTCCGGAAACACTGCTGCGAATCCGACGCCGTCTGAAGACTTAGAGCCATCTGTGTACACAGCGGTGGCATGAGAATGGGAGTGGAAGTGATCAAGAAAAAGAGAGCGGGAAGCCACCGTAGGCAGTTGAGCTTTCGAGCAAGGGAGTGAGAAAGAACAGACCCGAACAGCTGGAACTTCCCAGGGGGGTAGGGAAAAGTGAGATGCTACATGAACATATAAAGGTGGTAACTGAAGGGAAGACAAGAGTGAATGTAGGCGAAGAGAAAAGGGACGGAGCAAACAGGGGCGGCGAACGAATAAAGAATGTCTACTAATATCGGTGACCATTCTATAAATGGAAGGATTGTGTAGATCGTGAGAGCGTACATAGTAACGAAGGCAATGGGCATCACGGCGATCAGACAAGGATGGAACATTTGCTTCTGTATAGAGGCTCTCAACAGGGGAAGAGCGAAAAGCACCAAGGCACAAACGTAAGCCTTGGTGATGGATAGAGTTAAGGCTAGAGAGAGTAGCAGGAGAGGCCGCGGAATAAATCTGGTCACCATAATCGAGTTTCGATAAAACGAGGGCTGAATGTAGGCGAAGCAGAGTTCGACGATCAGCTCCCCAGGAAAGATGAGCAAGGGTTTTAAGAAGGTTTAGCCGGCTGTGACAAGTTGCCTTCAGAGAGGTAATGTGAGGTTTCCAGGTTAACCGACGGTCAAAGAGAAGGCCTAGAAACCTGACTGTATCACGTTCGGGGATACGGGAGCCATAGAGATACAAAGGATGATCGGAGATGACAGAGCGTCTAGTGAAAGTAATTTGGTGAGTTTTGGTACTGGAAAATTTAAATCCATGTGTGGTGGCCCAATTGGAAACACGGTCGACCGCATGCTGGAGAGAAACTGTAATGAGATGACAGTCAGCGCCTGAACAGGCAATAGCGAAGTCATCAACATAGAATGATGACCAAATATTGGATGGAAGACTTAGAGGCCAAATCATTTATGGCAAGGAGAAAAAGTGTTGTGCTCAGAACATCCCTGGGGGACACCTTCAGCTTGGATAAAGTCCGGGGAGAGCACATTATTAACCCGAACACAGAAATGTCTGTCAGTTAAAAAGTTCTTAAGGAAGGATGGTAGATTGCCTTGGAGGCCTAAGGAGTGGGCTTGGGCCAAAATATTATACCTCCAAGTTGTGTCATATGCCTTCTCAAGGTCAAAAAATATGGCAATAACTGAGTGGTTATTCGCAAAGCCATTACGAACATACATATCCAAGCGTAGTAAGGGGTCTTTGGTAGAACAACCTTTACGAAAGCCATATTAATGAGTGGAGAGACTGTTGTGTGTCTCTAAATATCACACTAAACGTCTATTTACCAGGCGTTCCATCACTTTGCAAACTGCACTGGTAAGAGCAATGGGACGATAGTGGGAGGCTTCATGTCCCGTAGTACCCGGTTTGCGGAAAGGGAGAACAATGGCAGATTTCCACAACTGTGGAAGAACTCCTTGTGACCAAATAAGATTGAAAAGGCGTAATAGGACTGCAAGGGCTGACTGATGTAAATGTTGTAGCATACGAATATGAATCTCATTGGGCCCAGCTGCCGATGATCAGCAAATTTTGATTCATTTATAAATAATATTCTACTGTACAACTATGAAATAATTACTATCCTACTGTACAACTATGATATACTCCTTAGTGTTAAGTAGACTGCAAGCCAATAATGTTAAGTTGGCCCATAATTCCTAGGCATAATAGAGGCTCTCTTTGCATTGCAACCCACTATTGTAAATACAAAATCTCAATGTACTGTTTGCAAAGACAAAATAAATAAATAAATAAATAAATAAATAAACCACAGCCCAGCTGGTTGGGTACTGACTTTAGGTATCTGTCAGACTCCCTCTTGACAGATTATGCATGCTGGGAGGCTGTTGAACAGTCTTGGGCCCAAGACACTTATTGTGTTTTCTCTTAGTACATGTATTTAGATTTAGGTCATATGTATACCTGGAGGGTGTTCCGGGGGTCAACTCCCCTGCAGCCCGGTACATGACCAGGCCTTGCAGTGGATCAGGGCCTAATCAACCAGGCTGTTACCTCTGACCACACACAGATGTATGAACCACAGCCCAGGTGGTCAGGTACTCACTTTAGGTGCTTGTCCAGCTTCCTGTTGAAGACACTTAACCCCTTGACTGTCGAAACTCCAAATCCTGAGGTGTCTCCAGATGTCGAAAAAATTTTTGAAAAAAAAAAAAAACTCATGAAATGAAAGAGAATCTTTTCCCGATGGTAATGACACCAAAAGAATGAAATTTGATGGAAAACTTACGGAATTAGGCTCTCATGAAGTTAGTGACATCGGCGATATTTAAGAATCTGCTATTTCACCCACTTTGAGCCCTATTTTCAGTTAATTCCATTGTTCCAGTCAACCAAACTCATAGCTATTTCTTTAGAACTCCATTTGTTCTATTGATTGAGCACAAGAAACTGCCCATTTACCAATTTCAACTACCCAATAACGTGGTCAGAAATTTGCAATTTCGCCAATTTCATGCAAATTAAAAAATGACTGCAATATTGTAATAATTATATAAATAATGTCAACCCATTCATGACTGCATATTAGAATGGCTAGTTGGACATTTATTGGACAATGATATCGTTTGTTTACTTTTGAACATTGGCAAAAATCAAACATTTCCCGTACTTTGAGCTCCATTTCAAGGTTCTTTTCATAGTAAAAGCAATCAAAATCACCTCTGTTTCTATGTTTTCCATTCTTTCAAATGAAACCAAGAAAAAGAGAATACGACCATAAATACTATAGAAAAATAGACCACAAAGTCGGCATTTTAATCCAAAAAAACAGTCGGAGTTTTTTTTCTCATTATGCACTGCATGCTGCAGGATTTTTTTTATATGGTACACACTGACCACACAGACCCATTCTCTCACATGTGGGCCTACCAGCTTTCTCCTGCTTGATTTGAAGCTGCTAGAATTTATGAGCATATATACGTCAAACATGGTGGCTCATAAGACATATATTTACGATCGAAACAGTCAGAGGGTTAAGTGTCTATTGGTAATACCCCTTGTGTATGCTGGGAGGCAGTTGAACATTCTTGGGTCCCTGACACTTATTGTGTGTCTTAGCATACTCATGGTGCCCCTGCTTTTCATTGGGGGGATGATGCACCATCTGCCCAGTCTTTTGCTGTCATAGGGAGTGATTTCTGTGTGCAGATTTGGGACCAGTCCCTGTAGGATTTTCTAGGTATAGATTATGATGTATCTTTCTCTCTCCTGAGTTACAGTGTAATGCAATTACCAAATGATTGCATCTCTTTGATTCATTTGTCTTTAGTAGATTTCATTTTGAATGAAGGATGTTATATACAGATATCCTTACAAGGGACTGTATTTACTTTGTGACTATGATAACATTATATAAAGTATATTAATTATTCAGTGTTCATAGCATAATGAAGTATAGGCTTCAGCATGTGCTATGTGACTAGCAAGCCACGACATGCTGAATATTATGTGAAAAGCACAAAATTTAAGGCTTAAACATGAGTGAAAGATGCCCACATCAGCAGTCGAAGCTAGGTCAGTATAAGACAGTAGTTCAGTACAGTACTGTTTATAAGATGTGTGTTGGTTATGTCACATTCAGTGTGTACCTCAAGCCAAAGACAGTAGCAGTGAGGTAAGTTTTGTGAAGTCTGCTTCTTAGTAACATATTGTAGATTCATTTTTGTTTTACAGCTGCAATTTATCCTTATTCGAGGCACTATTACTTCATAAAGCATTTTCCAGTATTTATAACTGTAACTGACTGACAAAAGGTATTAACATTATACATCAGATTTTAATACCTTTCAATAAATGCACTTTTACAGAGGTAGACACAAAACATTGCATAGTGTATTGCTACTACAGTGCACTATTACTGACATTTGACTCTCAGTCCCATTTTATGTTTGTTCCTCTCCCTGTGTACTTATGTATGTGTGTGTGTGTGTGTGTGTGTTGTACCACCAGTCCTGTGGGAGAAAAGCTGATCATCACTAATCTGGAAAAAAAAAAAAAAGCTGAAAATCTTACATTTAAATTCTTCATCCTTATTTACAACCTGTATCTTGAGTTAGATATATCTACCAGTACATATATAAATTCAAATCAATGTTTTGTGTGTGAATTGAAAAAGAAAAAGCTGATATAACTGAAATTATTAGTGCTACATAATTTAGTGTCTCTTCTCTATGTAATGCACCTTTTTATTCTTACATTTACAGGAAGTATCTATGATGCCACAAAAAGCTATGATGTCTCCTTTTACTGTGCTGGTGTGCTGCTCTTTGTGTGTGCAGCTCTCCATTGCATTGTCCCATTAGTCCAGCGATGCTATCAGGATGATATGCCGGTAATGTTCTTTTATATCCTCAACATTATACCTCATAATTCATTGTTCTACCAGTCAGATCTAAAATTTTGGGCTAAATAATTTTGTGAAGCATTAGGCTGTAAGATGAAAAACGAAAATGAAAATGTTTATTTCCTTGCAAAGCTTACATTGTGTGGTTTACATATTATAAAATATTAATTACAAAGAAGGTGACTAGCATGCCTAGGCATTTCAGGCAGACTAATCCTAATTCTTACTCTATATTGACACAGGTTATGGAGCAGTACATTTTAATATACATTATTGCATACTGATATAAAAGTTAGTTAACTGAAGTGATTAACATTAATTAGATTGATAATAGTAAGGTAGTACAAAACATATAACAATATTATAATTAGTTAATTTAGTAATGGGAATGGTTTTACAGTATCTCAGCATGATATGCTATTACTATAAAAGCTCCTATATTGGAAGAGTATTTCAGGCAAACTTAGGACTAACTTAAGATTTATTAGGGAATAACTATATTAGGAATTTTATGTTTACAGTCATTTGGATGAGTGTTAGTGCAAAAAAAAGGGGAAATTACAAATAATGAGAGTGGGTCTATTTTGTTTTGGACGTGTTCACAATACAGAAAAGAGAATAGGTGATTTTCACATATCTGAGGGTAGGGTGTATTACGGAGATAAGATGTCTTTTAATAGTAGTTTTGAAAATGGTGGTCGAGTCTGTGGTTCTAGAGTTTTCAGGCAGGGGAACTGAAAGTGGGTGAAGGAGGTTTCATACTCATATTGATCCTCTTGTAATACTGTAATTTATTTTTCTTAACCCTTTGAGGGTTTTCGTCGTACTAGTACGTCTTACGCGTAGGGGTTTTTGACGTACTAGTACTCATAAATTCTAGCGGCCTCAAATCTAGTGGGAGAAAGCTGGTAGGCCTTCATATGAAAGAATGGGTCTATGTGGTCAGTGTGCACAGTCTAAAAAAAATCCTGCAGCACACAGTGCATAATGAGAAAAAAAAAACTTTGACCATTTTTTTTGAATAAATCAGCGACTTTGCAGTGTATTTTCGTATGGTATTTATTGTTGTATTCTAGTTTTCTTGGTCTCATTTTATAGAATGGAAGACATATTACAGAAATTGAGATGATTTTGACTGGTTTTACAAAGAAAGGTGCCTTGAAATTGAGCTCAAAGTAGCAGAAATGTTCGATTTTTACCAAACTTCAAAAGTAAACAAATCGTGCCAAGCGTGCAATACACGTCAACTGGTGAGTCTAATATTCTTTCACAAGTGCACCAATAATATTTATACCATTTTTTACACTAATGCAGTAGTCTGCATAACAGTAAATCTTATATTTTTTGTGAAAATAAAAATTCAAAGTGGAAAGCAAAAGAATATAAGAGGGGCCTTGAGACATGACTAATGACTAAAGGAAATGTCATTTTAGTGCCAGGAATGTCTTTCTTGTTTATTCTGGACCCTATTCGGAAATTGGCATCTTTTGAAATTTGTGTGAAATTGGCAAAATTGCTAAATTCTGACCACTGTACTGGATAGTTGGATTTCATAAATGAGTGGTTTCTTGCACCCATTCGATAGAAAAAATGGAGTTCTAGCGAAATATTCATTTTTTTTTGTCGACTAGTACAGTGAAATTGGCCGAAAATGGGGCTCAAAGTGGGCAAAATCGCCGATGCGTAAACATTGCCGAGACCGCTAACTTTGCGAGAGCATAATTCCGTAAGTTTTCTATCAAATTTCAAACTTTTGGTGTCTTTATGATCGGGAAAAGATTCTCTATCTTTTCATAAGAGAAAATAATTTTTTTTTTTTTTTAAATTTGGCCGACCCTGAGAACGAGTTTCGGAGAGGGCCTGTCGACCCTCAAAGGGTTAAGCATTGCAGTTTTGCAAATACTTTCTACATTAATTATTTCTGGTCAACATTTCTTAACCCTTTGACGATTTTGGTTGTATATATACGTCTTACAAGCCACCATTTTTGACGTATATATACTCATAAATTCTAGCGGTTTCAAATCAAGCAGGAGAAAGTTGGTAGGCCCACAAGTGGGAGAATGGGTCTGTGTGGTCAGTGTGCACCATATAAAAAAAATCCTGCAACACGCAGTGCATAATGAGAAAAAAAAACTCCGACCATGTTTTTTTTTAATTAAAATGCCAACTTTGTGGTCCATTTTCATGTAGTATTATGGTTATATTCTTGTTTTCATAGTCTCATTTGATAGAATGGCAAACATTTTATAGAAATAGAGGTGATTTTGATTGGTTTTACTATGAAAAGAACCTTGAAATGGAGCTCAAAGTACGGGAAATGTTTGATTTTTGCCGATGTTCAAAAGTAAACAAATGATGTCATTTTCCAGTAAATGTCCAAGTAGCCATTCTAATATGCAGTCATGAATGGGGTGACATTATTTATGCACTTATTACAATACTGCAGTAGTCTGCATAACAGTAAATCTTCTATACAGTGGACCCCCGCATAACGATATTAATCCGTTCCTGAGAGCTCATTGTTATGCGAATGAATTTTCCCCATAAGAAATAATGGAAATCAAATTAATCTGTGCAAGACACCCCTAAGTATGAAAAAAAAAATTTTTACCACATGAAATATTAATTTTAATACACACAAACTGAAAAAGACATGCACAGTTACATGACACTTACCTTTATTGAAGATCTGGTGATGATTGATGGGATGGGAGGAGGAGAGAGTCTTAGTGTTTAGAAGGGGAATCCCCTTCCATTAAGACTTGAGGTGTCAAGTCCTTTTCCGGTTTTCAAAACCATTCATCACATCTGTCAGACGCTGCAACATCATGGAATCTTGGTACAAAGACTTCAACGCTTGCCCAACCTTTGGACGATGACCTACTTACACTAGTGGCAGGTCCCACTAAGATCCCGCCTCCTCCTGCTTCAACTCATCTCACCACAGTATATAAGCCACCTCTCTGGCCCTATGCTGCACTTACTACAAGAGTGATGGACTGAACACATCGAATCCAGGTTGAAGGACTGATTACCTCATACTTCTACTCTCCTTACCCATTTCTACTTTGTATTGGACTGATGAAGCCACTGTGTGGCGAAACGTTTCTTCAATAAAGATTCCCATGTGTTGCATAAGTGTCTCAATTCTTCAACTTGTCGGTTTTCAAAACCATTCATCACATCTGTCAGACACTGCAACATCATGGAATCTTGGTACAAAGACTTCAACGCTTGCCCAACCTTTGGACGATGACCTACTTACACTAGTGGCAGGTCCCACTAAGATCCCGCCTCCTCCTGCTTCAACTCATCTCACCACAGTATATAAGCCACCTCTCTGGCCCTATGCTGCACTTACTACAAGAGTGATGGACTGAACACATCGAATCCAGGTTGAGGGACTGATTACCTCATACGTCTACTCTCCTTACCCATTTCTACTTTGTATTGGACTGATGAAGCCACTGTGTGGCGAAACGTTTCTTCAATAAAGATTCCCATGTGTTGCATAAGTGTCTCAATTCTTCAACTTGTCGGTTTTCAAAACCATTCATCACCCCTTATGTATGCTGGGAGGCAGTTGAACAGTCTCGGGCCCCTGGCACTTATTGTATTGTCTCTTAACATGCTAGTGACACCCCTGCTTTTCATTGGGGGGATGTTGCATCGTCTGCCGAGTCTTTTGCTTTCGTTGTGAGTGATTTTCGTGTGCAAGTTCGGTACTAGTCCCTCTAGGATTTTCCAGGTGTATATAATCATGTATCTCTCCCTCCTGCATTCCAGGGAGTACAGGTTCAGGAACTTCAAGCGCTCCCAGTAATTGAGGTGTTTTATCTCTGTTATGTGTGCCGTGAAGGTTCTCTGTACATTTTCTAGGTCAGCAATTTCACCTGCCTTGAAAGGTGCTGTTAGTGTGCAGCAATATTCCAGCCTAGATAGAACAAGTGACCTGAAGAGTGTCATCATGGGCTTGGCATCCCTAGTTTTGAAGGTTCTCATTATCCATCCTGTCATTTTTCTAGCAGATGCAATTGATACAATTTTATGGTCCTTGAAGGTGAGATCCTCCGACATGATCACTCCCAGGTCTTTGACGTTGGTTTTTCGCTCTATTTTGTGGAAGGAATTTGTTTTGTACTCGGATGAAGTTTTAACTTCCTCATGTTTACCATATCAGAGTAATTGAAATTTCTCAACGTTGAACTTCATATTGTTTTCTGCAGCCCACTGAAAGATTTGGTTGATGTCCGCCTGGAGCCTTGCAGTGTCTGCAATGGAAGACACTGTCATGCAGATTCGGGTGTCATCTGCAAAGGAAGACATGGTGCTGTGGCTGACATCCTTGTCTATATCAGATATGAGGATGAGAAACAAGATGGGAGCGAGTACTGTGCCTAGTGAAACAGAACTTTTCACTGTAGCCGCCTCAGACTTTACTCTGTTGACTACTACTCTTTGTGTTCTGTTTGTGAGGAAATTATAGATTCATCTACCAACTTTTCCTGTAATTCCTTTAGCATGCATTTTGTGCGCTATTACGCCATGGTCACACTTGTCGAAGGCTTTTGCAAAGTCTGTATATATTACATCTGCATTCTTTTTGTCTTCTAGTGCATCTAGGACCTTGTCATAGTGATCCAGTAGTTGGGACAGACAGGAGCGACCTGCACTAAACCCATGTTGCCCTGGGTTGTGTAATTGATGGGTATCTAGATGGGTGGCAATCTTGCTTCTTAGGACCCTTTCAAAGACTTTTATGATATGGAATGTTAGTGCTATCAGTCTGTAGTTCTTTGCTATTGGTTTACTGCCTCCTTTGTGGAGTGGGGCTATGTCTGTTGTTTTTAGTAACTGTAGGCCGCCCAGACTCTCTCCTGTGTTAAACTCTTTGGTTCTGTTTGTGAGGAACATGGAAGTTCCATCTCCTCCCAAGTGCTTTTACCGGGTAGTTTCCTGGAGAGATTTGTGTCCCCCGCGGTCTG